GCCACTGCACTCCAGTCTGGGTGACAGAGTGAGACTCCAACTCAAAAAACAACAAAAAAGTAGTTACCAGAGAATATCTATAAAACATACATAGTAAAAGAAACCCCAACGATTCAAGGGAAGCCTGTGTATCTATCACCTCATTTAAGAAATGGAATGCCGCCTTTAAAAATTTTTTTTTGGGGGGGTCGGAGTCTCACTCAGTTGCCCAGACTTGAGTGTAGTGGCATGATCATGGCTTACCATAGCCTCGACCTCCTGGACTCAGGTGCTCCTTCCACCTCAGCCTCTCAAATAGCTGGGAATATAGGCATGCGCTACCACATCTGGCTACTTTTAAAATTTTTTGTAGTAATAAGGTCTTGCTATGCTGCCCAGGCTGGTCTTGAACTCCTGAGCTGAAGCAAACCATCTGCCTTGGCCTCCCAAAGTGCTGAGCCACCATCACCTTTAAAGCCCACTGTGTGCTCTTCTTTGATCCCATCTCTTCTCTCATCTCGGAGGTACCTGTCTCCTTAAAGTCTGTTCATCATTTCCCTCCTTCACAATTTTCTACGTGTCTATATCCCTAAATAATATAGTGTAAGCTTGCATGTTTGCTAACTTCATATGTGGAATCACACTATATGTACTTTGGCAACTTGCCTTTTTACTCATAGTTATGACTCCACCTTCATAACTAGTAAGGGATGAGTTTTGGACACACAGGACACACGTTGGTGGTGAAATCTGGTACTTAATAAATTACTTTTGGACATCCTTATTTTTTTCCACTCTTTTTTCTCTTTTTCACAAGGCAAAAGAAATGAACTGGCTTTTTTATTCTATCCTCTAATTTTCCCAAAGTCTTAAACCAAGGTCAATGAATACTATGTTATATTTACAATGAAATCTCTTTACAGTGAATTGGTAAGGAAATGTATTGACATTCAAATTTTTTGGGGGGGGTGGGTTTTGAGTCTCACTCTGTCGCCCAGGTTGGAGAGCAGCGGCAGATCATGGCTCAAAACACACAACCTCAACCTCCTGAGCTCAGGCAGTCCTTCTACCTCAACCTTATGAGTAGCTGCAACTACAGGTGTGCACCACCACGCCTGGCTAATTATTTTTACTTTTGTAGAAATGAGGTCTCGCTTTGTTGCCTAGACTGGTATTGAACTCCCGGCCTCAAGGGATCCTCCTGCCCCCACCTCCCAAAGTGCTGCGATTACAGGTGTGAGGTTTTCCTCAAGTGCTGAAACAAGAATTTTGGGGAGTTTAAGTCTAAATGGCCACTGGGAAATGAATTTACCTTAATGGCATGTTTGCTGTCCTTTAAATTTGCTTGCTCCCCCCACCCCTGGGGTACCTGCTTGTGTGTCATTAATTAACGTGTCCCACTTACCCACTTTCCATTTTTATGGCATTCTTGAGGGTTATTTTAGGTTTTTCTGTTTCAGGCCAAAAGAGTTTAGCTGCAGCCAATGATGCGGGAGCCGACATAACTGAAGCCGTCAACAAGTGAGAGGACGGGACCTGCAATTTCAGAAGCAAGAGGGCAAACCAGGACTGGCATTCCTTTTGTATTCTGAGGAATGGGCCAAGAGTCCCACAAGACAAGAGAGCGGGTTTGGAAGAGCCCCTCTAGCTCAGTGAACCAAGTCATGGCCATCACCTTGAGAGTCAGAGGGAAGAGGGAGGCATTTGTGCTGACTGACCGTATCCCTGGAGAGAAGCACAAAGCGAAAATCAAATCATTTCAGAAGTCGGAATTTCAAAAAAGATTTTTCAACCTCTCTATTATCCTTCCGAATGCTCAGATAGTCCCTAAAGCCCATATTTCATCATACCATTGAAGTAGATAGAAGATATCTGGGAGTGGGATGGTTGGGGAGAGGACCTATGATACAGGCGTGCATGGTTCCCTCTCTCTGTCTTCCTTGGGATCTACTGAAATTCTTCATACCATCTTTTTTTTTGAGTCAGAATCTTACTCTGTCAGCCAGGCTGAAGCGCAGTGGCACACTCATGGCGCCCACAACCTCAACCTGCTGAGCTCGGGCGATCCTTCTACCTCAGCCTTCCAAGTAGCTGGAACTACAAGCACGCACCACGATGCCTAGCTAAATTTTTGATTTATTGTAGAGACAAGGTCTTGCTGAGTTGCCCAGGCTGGTCTTGAACCTGTGGGCTCAGGCAATCCTCTCGCCTCTGCCTCCCAAAGTGCTGGGATTACAGGAGTGAGCCACCACGCCCGGCCTCACACAATCCTTATTAATCCAGAGTCCCTTTAATGTGTAAATGATTTGCATTCCTCATTGCAAGTCCGTTCTTTCCCCTTCCCACCCTCCACCCTTTCAGTGTTTCTGGATTCTTTTCCAGATATTTTCAGAATTCCAGACTCTGTACCTCCCCACCCATTCCCACCCACCTAGCACATGTTTGAGGCCGGATTCCTACTGTGGAGACAGAGCGAATCGTCTGGGGATCCACTCAGACTGTTGCTTCCTAAGGTGTCCCTTGCCTTGTCTTCATACTTCTCCCTACTAATTGGCTCTCCAAGGCCTGGATGAGGACCTGGAATGAAGCTCACTTGGCTTGTCAGAAATCCTAGTTCCCTGAGTCCTCCAGTGTTGACTTTGCATTACATTTCTCAACCGGGGCTTGTATCTTGTAAGATCTCTGTGTGGTGGCACATACATTCTCTCATCGTAACATTCTCCAGCTTCATGCCATAGACCACCAGCTCTTAAACTGGACTGTACATTAGAACAGGAGGTGTTTTTAAAAAATATGGGTTGAGTGTGGTGGCTCCCGCCTGTAATTCCAGCACTTTGGAAGGCTGAGGTAAGAGGATTGCCTGAGCCCTCGGGTTGGAGAACTCATCCCTACAACATATCAGACAATTAGCTGGGTGTGGTGGCATGTGCCTGTGGTTACAGCTACTTGGAAGGCTGAGATGGAAGGATCACCTGAGCCTAGCAGGTCAAGGCTGCAATGGCTGTGAGCATACCACTGCACTCCAGTCTGGGTGATGGAGTGAGACTCCACCTCAAAAAAAAAAAAAAAAAGATGCTTGGGTCTCATCCCAGGAAATTCTGATTTAATTACTCAGGGCCTGAGCATTAGGAAACTTATTAGCTCCCAGGTGATTCTAATGTGCAGTAAGGGTTGAGAACCATAGCTCTAGACCAGGGGTCAGAAAACTTTTTCCATAAAGGGCCAGAGAGTAAATATTTTTGGCTTTGTGGGTCACAGCTATTCAACTCTGTAACATGGAAGCTGCCATAGGCAAATAATAGGAGTAATTGGTTTCCAATAAAACTTTGTTTATAAAAAAACAAGGGTGATCTGGACTTAACCCATGAGCCATAGTTTGCAGATCTCTTGTCTAGGTCACCTTTTTGAAGGTAATAGTTTTTAAAAAACAGATTTACATTTTTAGCCAAAGTGACTTCATCATGTGAATGCATTTTGCTATTTTTATTATGTATAACATATATATTTATTTATATATGACATTATTGTTTATGTATTTTATAGTACATTTTATATATTTTATTTATATTATTATATAGTTATTTTTATATGTTATATATATTTGAGTCAGGGTCCCTATTGCCAAGGCTGGAGGGCAGTGGCATGATCACGGTTCATTGCAGCCTCGACCTCCTGGGCTTAGGCGATCTTCAGTCTTTTGAGTAGTTGGGACTATAAGTGTGCGCCATCATGCCCAGCTAACTTTTTTTTTGTTGTTGTTGATATTTTGTAGTGATGAGGTCTCTCTGTGTTACCTATGCTGGTCTCTGATTCCTGAGCTCAAGCAATCTGCCCGCATTGACTTCCCCATAGTGCTGAGATTACAGGCATGAGCCATTGTACCTGGCCTATTCTGTAAATAAAACTCACACTTACATGGCAGGGATATGAAGCCCTTAAACTCCCTAGGGTTCCTACGCTCAAATGCCAAAACATCTGTGACCAACTTTTGCCATATGGCAAAAAGACACTCTCTTGACCTTCCTTACCACCAATAGGAAAGAAAGAAAGAAAAAAAATAGCAAAGAAAGAAGAGGTTGAATTTTTCATAAGTTAATTCCAAAACATTCTTACCCCAAAAGAAATGTACGCGCCTAAGACGCTTCCAGCAATTGTAGAGAACCCAGCTGTCATGATGGCATGGAGTTCAGACCTGGTGACGTATGGTAAATAAGGTCGGACCAGGAGTGGAGACTCTGTCTGAAGACAAAGAAGGGTGATTAGATTAAGGGTTCCTTTTTAAATCTTGGGGTGTGGGGAAGAGGTATGCCAATCTACTCAGAATTTTATTCTCTAAAATTTTCTAAGACTGAACCTCAGACAGACTCCATCAGCACTACCTGAGAACTCATTAGAAATGCAAATTCTTGGATTTACCAAATTAGAAAATGCCAGTGGGGCCAGCAATCTGTGTTTTAACAAACTTTCCAGGTAATTCGATGCATTCTCAAGTTTAAGAACCCACACCATTGATGTCTGGGTCATTTGAACTCTAGGTCAGTGTGCATATATGCTCATGTGTCAATTTTGAAAGATTTGTGAGACTAATCATGTAAGGCCTCGGCCTAGCCTAGGACTGGACTCTATGATGACGTGTTGCACTCTTCTAAGGGTTGACCAAATTACTGCCCGGTGGCCTAGCCTTGTAGACTGGTGACCCCTAAGCCACTGTGACTTCTCGTCTCCCAACTACACCTTGACAGCCCCTAAACCTGTTTCCTTATACTTCAGGGAAAAAGAGGCACACGTATTTTTAAAATAATAATAATAATAATAATAATAATAATAATGCTAATAATACCAACAATAACAAGGACAGATGCCCGCAGGCTCTTTTGTAATCGAGAATCAAAGACCCCTCTCTGACGGGTGGAAAGGAACCTGCCAGAGTGTAGTTGTAAAGACTTGAATCCCACTAAAGAGGACAGGCAGCCCGCAATGTGGGGCTCTCCATGAATAATAGTTGTACTTTTAGCATATTAAGTATCAAGTTGAGCACCAGAGAAGCTTGTGTGCAATTTTATAATTTTCTCTTCATTATTTCTAATTGTTCCATAAGATTGAATGTGCGGAGCTTCAATTTATAGACTAAATAGGAAACCCTGTACATGAGCCCTCTTACCCTGCCGGTAGGAGCAATCAACTCAAGATGGTGCCCTAATTAGTCCTGAGAGATTTTATGACTATAATTATAATAATTTCAGCTCCTAGAGAAGAAAGCATGGTCCCCTGCTCTAAAGATGATGCTTCAGGCTGGTGAACTGGGCTTACCGACAAGAAGGCTCAGGCTGCCTGAAGCAGTTGTAAGCCTGGGATTTGGGGCCACGTGTTTTTCTGAGTGACTTGGTTTTTGCTACAAATTCAATTTGTGTGAAAGCGGTGCTGGCAAGCGTTCACACTTGGTTTCCTTGGTGTGTGATTCCGTCCTGCCCAAAGCTGCACATCCTGGATGATGAGTAGCTTATTACAGTCTCTTACTTACCCACCCCATAGGAATGCTGCTATGTTGAGGGACATGCCTTGGCGTCATAGTTCTTTGCTAAAATGGACTTCAGGGAAAAGAGCATTTATCCATGTGATGGATTGGGGAGGTGAAAATTGTAGCCTAAAGCTTATCTTTGATGAGAAGAAAAAAACCCTAAAAGCATTTCTTCAGGCTCAGCACAGACAGAATGTTGGCTGGTTCAGACAAGTTGCGAAGGAGCTCAAGTATTCGTACAGCTGCGTGGTTGGTGGTGAAAGGCTTTCTTGGTCTTCTGCATAGCCATAGGCGTTGTGGTGTAGAATGTGAGGCTGCCTGTTCCGTGTTTGCAGCTTCAAGATAGTGAAATCCACTCAAGTGGAAGAGCTACTGGCCTCTGAAGAATTGCCTAGAAATCTCAATAATTCACTCAACTCAAAAGAGATTTGTTCAGAATCTACATATGAGAAGCTCCACGCTTTAATAAAATGACTCAATCCTCCTTCAGAAACTTTCATGAACCCAATTCTACAATAGTGTACTTAGACCCTTGGAAGGGATCTCTCTCGCTCTGGAATCTAAACATTGTCAGTACTGGGAGTTCCTTATTTTGACATCTTTCTCTCTACACTAAAAGAAATGACAACAACATAATATTTTTCTTTTCTTTTTAAGTCAGGGTCTCAGGATCACTGCTCACTGCGGCCTCGACCTCCTCGGCTCAGGCAATCTTTCTACCTCAGCTGCCTGAGTAACTGGGATTACAGGCACACACCACCACATCCAGCTAATTTTTTGATTTTTTTGTAGAAACAACGTCTCGCTATGTTGCCTAGGCAGGTCTTGAACTTTGAGGCTCAAGTGATCCTTCTGCCTTGGTCTCCCAGAGTGCTGGGATTACCAGCCCCCATGCCCAGCCACAATGTAATATTTCTTATTCAGCTTTTTGGAAAGAGACTATCCATTTTAGCAGGCATTCTGTTTTGTTGCTATTACAACTTACTTGTCCGACAAATATATTGCCAGAAGCAACGATAGATTCAATAGGAGATGATCCCATAGTAACAAACATGAGCCATCCAACCTAAAAGGAAGAAAGGGACAAAGTCAGCGAAGAACTCTTGTATGCACAAAACTTCAAAGTAGGGGTAAAAACTTTTAACTGGAGTAAAATGTGGAAGCCTTCAATAACGGATGACAGGCTAGTGATGGCGCTAAATATAAATTTAACTTACCAAGTCCATAGAGCAGGCCAAGCAAATCCTCCTACTTGAGAGGTAAGTCCTGAGTCATTGTGTATACTTCAACCATTCTAATGAGTTTCTATAGGGATACTGTATACAAGTAATAATTGGTAATTGCTGACATGATCACGGAAGGCTTTACTACATTCCGCCACGTTCTTAAGCCCTTGACCCAGGTAATGGATTTAATCCTTGCCATAAATCTTTGAGAGAGGTCCTATTATGATGCCCATGTTGTCAAAGAGGAAACCACAGCACAGAACAGTTTAGTTGTTTAGTCAAAGGTCACCCAGCTAGTAAGTAGTGGGATGTATTTGAGGTAGCCTTTTCTCCTGAATTCAAATGAGCGTGTGTAGGATTCCACTTTTGTACTGGCTGGCCAGCCAGAGGCAGTGGTACCCACCTTGGGGTGGGGATTTCCTGTTGCATTCTCTCTCCTTTCTTTTTGCTTAGACATGAGGGTAACAATTTTGAGTGTTTAAACCGAGAGTTAGAAAATTATGAGCCCTAGAGTTCTTGTTGCAGTTCTGAACACTGCTGGTACCTACATTCTGTTTCTCTCTCTTCTCTCTTTCTGTTTGTACGTTTTGATTTATTTACAGGAATCAGAGGAGGGCCGTGGCTGTGCCCAAGCACTCTGTGCACAACTCCGTGCTCACGTGCATCCAAACAAGTTTCAGATTACATGAGTGTAGGACTCAGGTCACTGGCTGGGCAACAGGAAGGAGGTTGATTCTTTAGCTCTTGTGTATAGGTGTGTCTGTGTGTGTGTGCACACGCACACACTTATAAAACACCCTTAGGAGTGCACAGCGGCCTCTCCTTCTTGCTCTCATTTCTCTAGCAACTCTAAGACCAGAAGTGCTTACTTTGTAACCTCCTGAAGATAAGCAGGGACTTTGTGCAAGGCACAGAGCGGATAACCAAGATGAGGGAACAACGCTGCTTCCCCCGGCGGTATCTGACCTCAATTCCTTGCCTGAAGAGGTGACTGCTATGGGCTTGTGAAGATATGAAAAGGGTTGCAAATCAAGGCCCTGTTAGAAGTCCCTGAGCTAAAATTCCCTTGGTGGAATTTAGGATTTGGGGGTTTGAATCTAATAACTCGGTTGGTGGTGCTGGATTGTGGGAGGAGGAGAAAGGCATTTGGGAATACCCGAATAACAGGCACTAAGGATTTTGTGTCTGGGACGATCAGTTCTACACCTGTCACCCAAGGCCGGTCCAGTTCCAATACCTTTCTAATAACCCACTGCATCAGTCCAAGGTAGTAGAGCATAGACATCACGGTGCTGAAGAAAATCACGATTGGCAGGATCTGGTGGGAACAGAAGCAAGTATGGGTCAATGTTGGTCCTGGCTGCATCAGCAGGTTTTATATGAGGTCTCCTCTCTTCTTTTCTCCTTGCTGTAAAAATACAGCAACTCCTCTTGAACTGAATAACGCTTTTATCAGGCAGCTTCTCTACCTACAGTCTTTAATTCTAATTGATTTTAGATAAATTTGAGTGTATTTCATAGGAAATGACATCCTATCCCGTTTCTTTAAAGAGTTTTTCTTACTCAGGGAAGGAATGATGTTTTGGGTGAAACTTGCCATAACTAGATCAACATATTATATTGAAGGCCACCACCACTCATTAGCAGAGGGACCCGGGCCAAAATAAATTGTGAGCAACCTCAGAGCCTTATTCAGAGTCGCCATAGCAATCAGAGAGGAGGTATGCAGAGTAAGGTTCCTTTTTTTTAGCTTTTAAAATCATGATTAGACTAGCCGTGGTGGCTCACACCCGTAATCCCAGCACTTTGGGAGGCCGAGATAGGAGGATCACCCGAGCCCAGACCTCATCTCTACAAAAAAAAAAAAAAAAATTAACTGGACTTGGTAGCACGTGCCTGTAGTTCCAGCTACTTGGGAGCCTGAGGCAGAAGGATTGCCTGAGCCCAGGAGTTTGAGGTTGCAGTGAGCCATAATTGGGCCACTGCACTCCAGCTTGGGTGACAGAAAGATCCAACTCAAAAAATGATTATTATTTTGCCTAGAGATTTTTGAATCACTAGAAAGTGTCTATATTTTTTAAACTAGTTTAGTTCCATGTTCAAGACAGCCGTACTTTCCTGGATCTTATTTTCCAGATGCTCGCTGTTACCTTCAACGCAGCCTGTGTTCCCTCAGGTAGCAGGTTCCACCCTGCATGGGCCATGCAGCACTGTGGGTTGGGTCCCTCCTCAGCCTCACCCTACAGCCTCCCTTCCTCACTGTTTCCCAGCTAAATGACCAGAGACGAGCTGCCACCAGAAGCACAGAGTGACCGAGGACAATTTGTGCAGGATCTAATTTAGAAAAGTCTATTAATAATATATATTAAAAGACATTTGGTGCCAGTTATTTAGAGCTCACTGACTATGAGCTTTTTACTGCCTCTGATGGGTAGGTAGCGCATTCCTGAAAGCTTGAGGGAGTTAAAGGGGTTCATCTCAGGAATGTTACCCCTGGGATTCTGCATTGGCAGAAAATAGAGGCCACTGCCCTGGAAGGGGGAGGGGGAAAGTCTGAGACACCTGTATAGTCTGGGTAGCAAGTCACTCCTTCTCTATGATTCTATTTTTTCCAATTCTGAATTCAATTCATATATAAGCATATTTCTATCTCATTCCATAAACACTTGACCTTTCAGAGATGGCTTAGTTATCTCAGCACTCAAACATCAAGTCAACAGTTTAACAAAAGATTGGTCTAACTGAAGCCAGAGTAATTTGGAGGTAAATTTGGAGTCTCTAAGTGAGAAAACAAGTTAGAAGCGTATGAACAACAGCACAACACAAAAAAAGAAAGCAGAAGAAAAACCCAAATGCATCTTTCTGGCTCACTGACAAGTATTTGTAGGGACTTCCCAGAGGAAGGTCAGTTTCTTGGGGCTTGTGGGAACCCCAAGAGTCAATCAATTGTGTCCAGCCATGGGGCAGGGTTGCTTTGTCCCTGTAAAATAATGTGCCTCCTTTGGTTAAGAGAAGACCCATCCTTGAACAAAGGACAAGCTGAAGGAGAAATGAGAAAAGTTTAGTGTGGGGATGACCACAGAACAGAGGTTGATATGGTAGACCAGCTGTCTGAATGCCTAGGACAGAGAGGTTTGTCAAGTGCAGAGTTGACAACTGGTCTTGAGCCTGTCAGACATTGGTGGCCACATGCCTATTGGTTGCCGGGGATATGATGTTCTTTTTCCCTGAAGTCCCAAATACTATTACCCCATACAATTTTCCATAAGTATTTCAGGCTATGCCATAACTCTCCCCCCAAAATATTAGAATATTTCTGATCTCCTCAAGATGTTTCTCTAAATGCTATGATAGCAAAGTAAAATGTATGCAGGCCACTGACTTCATATTACATCGTCAATGAAAAGGGACAATGATGTGTTGCACACCTTTGACAAGCTTGACAGGTATATACCTGGGTTTCAGTCACTTAAGTTCTACCTGAACATCTACAGTGACCAAGAAGCTACTGGAACAGCAATGACTACATAGAAAAGGGGTTCAGCTTTACCTTAAATGCAAAGAAGTGGTCTTTATATTTCTCACCAAAGACAAATGAAGCACCAGCATCCGTGTACTCCAGAAAAGTCTGAATGAAAGAAGGAAATAGAGATCTCATTATGGTCCATAGGAACACTAGGCAGTGCAGAGGATGTGTCCAGCAAACGTGCTGGATAGACTTGGGACACTCATGGCCTCAGTTTTGCCCCTCCAATGAATGGCATGGAAGTATATTTCTGAATTATACCTACATACAGATTTCCTGACATTCAGTCTGTCTCCAGGATACTAAGAATGAGTCAAATGTGGAAATTTGTTCCAGCAAGCCATAGATGGCACATGGGTGGCACGAGTTACTGGATGCAAAGGAAGTCGGTTTCTCTGCTTGAGGAAACATCTTAGAAGTATGACACCCACCCCGGGTGCAGTGGCTCATGCCTGTAATCCCAGCACCTGGAGAGGTGGAGGCGAGGAGACTGCCTGAGTCCAGGAGTTGGAGACCAGCCTGGGCAACTTGGCGAGACCTTGTCTCTACGATAAATAAAAAAATTAGCCAGGTGGGGTGATGCACGCCTATGGGAGACTGAGGAGGAAGGATTGCCTAAGTCCAGCAGGCGGAGGCTGCGGTGGCTGTGAGCATGCCATTGTACTCCAGCCTGGGCCACAGAGTGAGACTCTAACTTAAAAAAAAAAAAGTATGACATTCCTTGGGCAGAATGAAGGGGATTGGGGGAGGGGAATGAAATGATGCAGTTAATGATATAGGTAAGGGGCAGCAATAATATTAATAAACTACAAAGATTAATGTATTCAACATAAACACAATTATTTGTTCAACTCATGCTACAGAATTAAAAATTAGATCAACTAAGGCAGATAAATAAACGTATGGCTGACATGTCTTGAGGATTACATCCAAATATTAATAGCACCATAAAAGCAAGGTGTTCTTTTAATCAAACCTACCTGAACTTGTCTGCCCAGCCAATCGAAAGCTATAAATCCAGGTTCAGTCCTTAGAATCAAGAGCCCAAGAAGAAACTGTAAACCAATTCCCCATAAGACAGGTCTCCAGTAAACCTATGCAGAATGATCAAGAGATTTATTTTAGTAGAAAAGTAATGCTGACCTTGGCATCAATGTCCAAAGGATCACTACTTCCTTGGGAACCTTCTCAGATGTGGCTTGTGACCCACTTTTTGTTGGGAGGCCAAAGCTGTCATGAGCAGAGAATCCGTTGATGGAGTTATACCTTAAAAAACTCAGAATTGCATCCCCTCTTCCAAAAACCTGAGTTTGGAGCCTTCAGTGCCGGGAAAGTATGTAACCATTATGTCCTGATAAGTCACTTAGACATAAAAAGTAGTTGAAGAAAAAGGACCATTAGAGGAAGAAGGAACTGGCTGTCCTGGTCATGCTGTAAATAGTGGATACATATCATTATTCCCCATCTGGAAAATGAAAATGCAGAACATGGTTTCTCTGTATGTACAAGGTTTGTTGATCTGTCAATCTGTAAGTGAATTAAGTAAAATTCTGCCCTGTCGAGGGGCTCTCATTTCATTGTAAAAGGGACCAGTGGACGGTGATGCACCCAGCATGTGTAGCAGGAATTGACAGTCACCTACTTTCATTTTGGGTGCAGAGATGAGTGGCCTAAAATGAACGTGGTTTTGGAGACACAGACAGTAGAGATATTCACCTGAGCAGGGCAAAAAATTTGGATCATGGTGGGTGAACTTGATCTCTAATTAATGATTTTTTCCTTGGATCAATCTTTTAACCGGTAAAGTCTTCCAGAGTTTGCCATTGTGAGTCATACATGGGAGCTTCAGTGTCTCAGAATTCTTGCATATTTCATGGGTTACCCACCGACAGAACAAAAAGGAGAATTTGGGCTCTATGTGAAAAAAAAAAAAGTGATATAAGGATAAACTTTTAGAGTAAAAAAGCCCAATTCGCAAGTAGAACTTTGATAGACTGCAGGATTCAACAGTAGAATGTTAGATTATGTACTGGTTTGGGGGAAATCTGGTTCAAAACGGATGAATTTTCTCTGTATGTGTGTTTGACGGGGGGTGCGTCAATTCACAATTGCAAAGAGGTGGAATCAAAGTAAATGCCTATCAATGAATCAGTGGATAATGAAAATATGTATATGTATACCATAGAATACTATTCAACCATAAACAAGAATGGAATAGTGTATTTTGCAGCAACTTGGATGGCGTTGAAGAACACCATCGTAAGTAAACTAACGCAGGAACAGAAAACCAAATACTGCATGTTCTCACTTACAAATGGGAGTTAAACCAAAGATCTAAAATGGCTTAGAGAGTGGTATAATAGGCACTGGAGACTCAGAAAGGGACGGGGGAAGGCGTGGAGGGATGAAAAATCACCTGTCAGGTACAATGTGCACGGGTGGGGGTGGTGGGTACACTTATAGCCTAGCCTTTTTTATCGCTCTACAAGGCATCCATGTAACCAAAAACTATTTGCATCCACTAAAGCTGTTAAAAAAAATAGGGAGTATGTGAGTAGAAATTGGAGCTGACAGGGAGAGAATGTCTCACTGATTGTGTAATGATAAAATTATGGAGCATGAAACAGGAGATAATAATAGATAGTACCATGAAAGTTCAGGAATAAGGGCGCCCTGACCACTTTAAATAATCACAGCCAAGTAAGAAGAACATGGGATAATAGTTAAATTCTCTCGCAGTCAGTATTTGGAACAATTTACATGGGGGGGAAAAGTGGAAAAAAAATTCCCCAAGCTCAACTGATACTTACTCTAGTTGGGTATTTGGAAAATAGAAGTAACAGGACGATGTACATGATAAGCCCACCAAAGGACACCAGCTGCCGTTGACCCAATTTGGCAGTGTCGAAGATCAGCCAGAAAATAACCACTAGGATCAGGGAGCTCCAGATTACCCTAGGAGAATGGGAAGGGAGGCATTGGCATCACTTGTGCTAACCTGAGGATCGTAATCAGGCTTAAACTAACAAACAAAATATATGAATGAGAGCAACACACCTTGGCACTAGGAATTTGTGCTTTTAGAAATTGCAACGGACCCTTTTTGGTTGTGGCTATAATAGCAAACAAGCACAAAGAAATGAAGTAACGTATCCCTTCCCCTGTTCGAGAATATACAAAGGGGTCAGAGAGGAGAAAGGATATTTGGAGACAGTCTGGCGATTTTTTTGAGCGAGATACTGGGGTTCTTCACCTTTATTTTGGGGGGGTGGGTGGGTGTTACCTTCTTTACATCCTTTAAGAAAGAATCTGAAATGTGTTCTCTGTAGTCAAGGTACCTCTCCAGAGTCTTAGAGAGCTGAATCAGGCTTTAGACTGGGTTCTGGCTCCTCTGGGGAGTTTAGCGGGTATGAAAGTCTGATTCACGGCTTGTGGGCCTTGCTAAAGAGAACTAGTCCTTGGTTCTATTCACGGGCCACCTGGAGAGAGAGGAGGCTGAGGAAAAAGCCCTGAGCAGTCACTGCAGGACATGGGGTTCTATGGGAAAGAGTCAGCTTGAACAATTCACGGGCCTTTACTACCAAGGAGGTCAGCTTTGTTTCCAGAGCAGGAAGCCACCTCCCCAAGTCAGAGTTGGCCCAGCTCTGTGCTCTCTATGAAGCTGGCAGAGGAGCGGGTAACAGGGAGAAAGGGGAAACGCAGGCCTGAGCTGGGGAGGAAGAATGGGACATTTGGTCATAGTTTTCATTACTGTATGGGACAGCACATCCTGTTATTAAAAATATGTCTGTGACCATTGGACAATTAGCTATGAGTGTGCCGAAGGATCATGGACTTTGGGAATTTTTATACAAAGTAAGGGGTTGATAGCTCCCATTGAACAAAATCCGAAGAGTGACAGATGACAAAAATTAGATTGTGTTTTGATCATAATCCATAGGTCATCATTTTAACATCATAACATAGCACACTCATGGCCACCGTAGCCTCCTGGGCTCAGGCAACCCTTCTGCCACAGCCTTTCAAGTAGCTGGGACGACAGGCGCGTGCCACCATGCCAGGCTAATTTTTTTTTATTTATTGTAGAGACGAAGTCTCACCAAGTTGCCCAGACTGGGCTCAAACCCCTGGGCTCAGGCAATCCTCTCGCCTCAGCCAAAGTGCTGGGATTACAGGCATGAGTCACTGCGCCTGGCAATGACCAATTCTTTATAAACAGGTGCTGAGATTAGATGGCATTTGTGCTGCTGTTTACTATCCTGTGCCAGGACAGATATTACCAATTGATCATCATGCCCTTCCACTGACAGGTCAGAGGAAGAGCTAAATCTATCCTGCTATGACTAAGCCCTCTCAGTAGTCTATGCTCCTAACTGCTTCTTGATATGTAGGCACGTAGGTGTCTCTCTAATATAGCCCATGGGAGGTTATTTAGACCAACAACTTTTGGATGATATTTTATCATTTACTAACACTTGAAACAAAGGCACTTATTAGGGACATATGTCAAATGAGTCATTGCCTCATCTAGGCCTTGATTTCCTGTTTGTAAAATGAAGACATTTTAACAGTTTACCCCTTAGGTGGTTTTAAGCTTCAATATCCCATAAATGAGGAAGCAATTTCTGAACAAATTTTTGGAACGGCGTGGCAAAAAGACAAACATCCCTCTCAACTGCAATAAGAGAACCAATTGCATTTACCACTTCAGCCAGAACCAATGACTGCTCAGAAGATTTCTGCCAGGAGACAGGATCTCATCAATTCGGTGTTCGTATTTGGCCATCAAGCGATCCCAGATGACAAAGAAGATGGCAGCCACGGTGATCACAAAAAGAGGAAGAGCTCTGTGGAAGTTCAGCACACAGGCTGCAATCACCACAACCAGATAACCTGTCCAGGAAGCAAATGCAAACATTAAACATCACCAGCTACCTGGACACTAGCCTCCAGCCTTGATCTGACTCAGGCAGAGGGAAGTTTAATCAAGAGACCACTGAATAAAGAGGTTCTCTCGATATGGCAACTGGATTCTCTGAAGGGGGCTTTTGATGTTTTTTTTCCAAAGCAAGTCCCCCAAATTCTCACTATGCATGCTAGGAGGAGAGGCTGCTAGGGCTTTTTTCTTACAGGACCATCTGAGTTCTTGAATCTTGACACCTGATCACTGGCCTTCTCAGTACTAACCATCCACTAACCCCCATTCAAACTCAGCTGATGAGATACAACCAGCAAAGACTATTGATTCTCCTGGTTTGCAGTTCAGACCAGGAGTTTGGCAGTTTGGGCTACACTTGAGTAGGAAAATAGACCTACCAACAATAGACCACTTCTCTAAGTGCCATAGATCTCAAAAAGAAAGGGGGTGAGAGTAATTACCAGGGTGGCTGCTTTTGAAGGGCATATTTTAGAATAAGGTTTCCTATTACTAAAGGCCAGACTTGCAGGTTAAATCTGGCTTGCCACTTGTTTTCGTGGGTGACAAATACAATTGTATTTGTATGTTTGAGATGTAAAATTAAATCCTAAGCCCGCCAACCAACTGAACAAACCTCCTTTGGGCCAAGAGGACCCAGAAAAACATTAAAAATGGTTTCCGGCCATGACAAGATCAAACATGATTCAGCACATGAGTTCCGTTTACTCCTTATTAACCTTTAACAAGAATCCCCCCCCCCCAAGGAGTAAGCAGAACCGAGCTCTGGAAAACCAAATGGATGACTCATTCCTCTATCACCTTTAGCTAGTTGTCGGAGGCTGGAACCAGACTCCCCCTTCCTCTTTCCAGTTTCATTGTGATAGTTCACCAATTTCACAAGCATCCCTTCCTGATAAGAGACCGCGAAGTGGTTCTGGTCAATCTACAGAGGATGTGCAGTGAGAGTTTTTACATCTTCTGCTTCACCTTTTGACATCAGGGGGCTGAGAACTCCACCCTCGGATCATACTAAGATTGCCATTTTTTTAGTGTGTGAAAGAAGCTCACTTGTGCATATGCATGTTTCTCCTTCCATAAACATTCACGACTCTTCCTGTAGCTTATTGAATACGTATACTTAGTCAATCCTTTCAGCATAAGTTCCTGTCTTAGTCTTCCTTCCCTGGAAATGCCTGTGTCTGGCTTCTGCCAGAGACTACACTTCCCAGACGCTTAGAATGGCCACATTGAAGGCTGTAACCCTTTATGAGAAATTAAGCTCTCCTTTCCAAATTTATGAACCGTGTGATTCTTCCACTGACAGCCTATATTTGTATTCTACGAATAAAGTTGTCCTGGAACTCAGCCATGTCTGTCTGCTTATGTCTTGTTTATGGCTTTTTTTTTTTTTTTTACTACAGTGGCAGAATGATGTCATTCTGACCTCACGCCTACCATACGGAAAAGCCTAAAACACTACCTGGCCTGGTACAAAGAAAACTTACCAACCCTGTGGATTCCTGATCTAGATGAACACCAGCAAAACCACCTACCCCGGTGGTGTGGCAGTCTTGCATTAGGTCTATGGGCTTGGGTGGGAATACTTACATTTTATAGACAGAACTGCTTTTTAATATTTGCTATGGGAGGGAGTAAAAGCAGGAGAAATTCTTGTCCTGTCTTCAGGCAAGAGGAGTGGTCTAGATGGCCCTAGGCTATTGTGTTGTATTCATAGAAAGCATGAATGGCTTATGTTTTCTAGATTTGTATTAACCAATATACCGCCCCCTCCTTTACCCAAACCACATGACAATTACAGAAGTTTTAGGAGCCTGAGAGTGGGTGACTCAAAAAATTAGCTGCTGGCCTCATACACGGGCCAGGAAAACAATTTGCATAAGTTTCCCCCGTTGAGACCCAAATTTGGAAGGCTTCTTGATTTACTGCTCTGCCTCTCTGGTTGATTCAGTGAGGTTCAGGGGACGGGGGGGGGGGCGGTCTGTCCTCTTTCCACGCAAAGTTAATATTTGAAAGATCCCTGAAAAGAGACAATAGTATCCGTATCCCCCTTTGTTATTTACCTGCTAATAAAATACCCCAGATGATGTATCGAACCATGGTTTTGTGCTTCCTATAAAAATCACAAACTGTATCATACTTCCTTTCCAAATACCTGTAACACAAAAGCAAAAAGGCAGGCAAAAGTAAACACCGGAACAGTAAAATAAACTGGCATGCGAAGGCTAGATGAGGCTTTGTAAAACAAGTGAGCAAGATTCGTGAAGCCTGTGTGTTACAGAATAGAAGTGGGAAACGCATTTCATTTTAGACTAGAGTCAGCGGTGACACGGATCAACCTTCAGTGAATAGATGTGCCAAGCCCCAAGGGCTTAGAGAGACCAGAAGACATGCTCCTGAGAACAGAGCAGGGGAAATAGATAACGAACCAAAAGCAGAAGTGAATCACAGGAGAGGGTTTCCGGCCAGATCATGCGGCCTCTGCTAGCTTTTAACCAACGCTTATTAATGTTTATCGTTAGAAAATGAAAAACTGAGGAACTCTTGTCATCCTTCCTAGCTTCACAAAGTTTGAGTAAGCTGAAGCCTCCCTGTTCTCAATCACCGTCCCTGTCCCTTTTAGTTCAAGACTGACAGAGTTCACTGGGTATGCTTGAAATACAAAGTAGCCGGGCTCAGTGGCTCAGCCTGTAATCCCGCGCCTTTGGGAGGCTGAGGTGAGTGGATTGCCTGAGACCGCAGGTTCGAGACCCGCCTGGGCAGCGAGACCGCATCTCTACAGTAAATCAAAAAATCAGCCGGGCGTGGTAGCGTGTGCCTGTAATTCCGTCTACTCGGAAGGCTGAGGCAGAAGGATCCCCAGAGCCCAGCAGGTCGAGGCTGTGGTGGCTGGGAGCGGCCACTGCACTCCAGTCTGGGTGACAGAGTGAGACTCCAACTCAAAAAAAAAAAAAAAAAAAAAAAGAAATACAAAGTAGTTGGCGGTAGCAGGATACTGCCGGGGTGGGGGATGGAGGGGGTCACATAACATCAATAAGAGTACCTGATCTCAGGCAAAGTGGGGACCAAAGGGAGGCCCAAACTTTACCAGAATGATGTCCGCTTGTATCCCTAATCCTGAATTGCACCCCACACCTTTAAAATTATATTTGAAATACAAAGTAGGAGTCCATGGATTTGAAGGGCTATTTAGCAAACGGGTTGTCATAGCTTTCTCAGAAAGTTATGGAAATCGTTGTTGGGATGTCTTTGTTTCTGGGCAGGGCTTTGTTGTTGGGTGGGTGGGTAGTGTGTGAATAATGTATGTGTCTGATCATGTTTTCTGGGGAGAGCTATGTCCAGTTTGGAGAGGTTACAGGGCCATAGCCACAGTCCTTCTCTGGCAACATCCTTGACCTACATCCTTGACCTGCCTCTTTTCCCAAAGGCCTTTCTCTCACTTGAGGCTGAGAGAAAGGAATTTACCTGCACATTTACTTGCACCATGACCACTTCCAGGCCACTGGATGGCATTTTTAAATTAAAAATTCTTTTAAAATTTTTGAGTTGGGTCTTACTTGGTCACCCAGGCTGGAGTGCAGGGGCCTGAATCACTGCTTATCACAACCATGACCTCCTGGGTTCAGGTGATCATTTCGCCTCAGCCTCCGAATAGCTGGGACTACAGGTGTGCGCCACCACTCCTGGCTAATTTTTGTATGTTTTGTAGAGACGAGTTCTTGTTACGTTACCCAGGCTGCTCTTGAACTCCTGTGCTCAAGCAATCCTCCTGCCTCAGCCTCCTAAAGTGCTAGGATTACAGGCGTGAGCCACCAAACCCGGCATTTCTAAAACAACCACTTCTCATCCCCAGTTGGTGATTCCCAAACTCCAGAATCTCAAAGGACTTTGGCCCCTAGCTGAAAGGCCAGCTCTCCCCTTGGTTAATGCCCCTGCTTCCCTTCCTTCCAACAGTTTTGCCTGCTAGTCCAAGTATCAGTCATGTCTCAAGCTTCAGGGCACAGCACAAGTTCTTCAGTTCTAGACAACCTCGCGTCTCCTCAGACAGACACACACCTCTGCACTTTATTCTTACTGTCTTTTTTTGTGTTTTATTATGAACCCAATAATGACTATAAAGTCCTGGAGAATAGATGACCGACCTATACAGCACCAAGAGTAGGACCTTAAATATTAAGGACACTAACAGGCATTTATGAATTAATAGATAAATGAAATGGGAGTGTATATTGCTTGCCTGGAGCATTTTCACGGACTCATTAGAAGGTTGTGAAGTCCACGTAATGAAGAGTAACCACCGTTGAAAAGAACGAATAGAGACCCTGTCTCTACAGAAACACACAATCAACGCTGGGCATGGTGGCTCAAGCCTGTAATCCCAGTACTTTGGGAGGCCCAGGCAAGAGGATTGCATGAGTCCAAGGGTTCGAGACCAACCTGCACAACTTGGTGAGATCTCGTCTCCACAGTAAATCAAAAAATTAGTTGGGTGTGGTGGCACGCGCCTGTGGTTCCAGCTACTTGGAAGGCTGAGGCAGAAGGGTCGTCTGAGCCCAGCAGGTTGAGACTGCAGTGGCCATGAGCATGCCACTGCGTTCCAGCCTGGGCAACACAGTGAGACACCAACTCAAAAAACAAAAAACAGCACAACAACAAAAAGAAATGCATACTCAAAAACCCAGGTGTAGTGGTGCATGACTGTAGTCTCAGCTACTTAGGAAGTTGAGGTGGGAGAATAGCTTGAACCCAGGAGTCTGAGGCTGCAGTGAGCTATGATCATGCCACTGCACTCCAGTTGGGATGACAGAGTGAGACTGAGACCATGGCTAAAGAGAGAGAGAGAGAGAGAGAAGAAAAAATAGAAATATCAGAGCATACCACACGTAAAATGATAGGTATTGTTTCATGAAATTTCCATCATTATGTATGTGTGTGAATATGTGTCCTGAGAATTAGAAGCAGTGCTCTAGAAGACACTGGGTGAATAAAAGTGTAGGGAAAGCGAAGACTTTTGTGGTCTAATTTAGGAAAGGCTAATGATGTATTATTCTCAGCTGAAGACCTCATGATACAAGGCAGCAGCGGTGGAAGGTGACATTTGATAGGGCACATCCACATACGGGAGACTGATTCCATCAGATTCTTTAAATGCAGGAAATGTGTGTAGTCCATTATACAATCTGACTCTGCCTAAAGTCAAGTAGATGGAAATAGATCCTTGGGTCATTTGATTATCCAGGCTGCATAATCCCCAACCTCCTGGTGGTTGTTTCAATGCCATTAATGTGAATGAGACTGGAATACTCCTGACCACCCACGAGAATCTCTCATTTGCCAATGTCAGAGATTCATAAAGTAAAATGAATTTTTTTTCTTTGCTAAATTTCTGAAGGGTTAAATATTTGTGATGGTATATATGAGACAAGAGCTCCCATCTCGAATTCTGACTGACTCCAAAGATATCTTCTGATACTTAAAAATAAAGTTTCTCCCGCAGTCCCATCTACTCTGGAGGCCAAGGTGGGAAGATTGCTTGAAGAGGAGTTTGAGGCTGCAGTGAGCTATGGTTGCACCACTGTACTCCAGCCTGGCTGACAGAGCAAGACACTGCTTCTTAAAAAAAAAAAAAGTCGCCGGGCTCGGTGGCTCAGCCTGTAATCCCGCGCCTTTGGGAGGCTGAGGTGAGTGGATTGCCTGAGCCCGAGGGTTCGAGACCCGCCTGGGCAGCGAGACCTCATCTCTACAATAAATCAAAAAATCAGCTGGGCGTGGTAGCGCATGCCTGTAATTCCGGCTACTTGGAAGGCTGAGGAGGAAGGATCGCCGGAGCCCAGCAGGTCGAGGCTGCGGTGGCCGGGAGCGGCCACTGCACTCCAGTCTGGGCGACCGAGTGAGACTCCAACTAAAAAAAAAAAGAGAAAAGAAGAGAAAAAGAAAAGAAGAAGAAAAAAAATTGTAAAAAATCTCCCAGAGACTTAGACATGTAAATCAAATTCATGACCTTTTGTTTGTTTGTTTTGAGGTACATTCTCACTCTGTCACCCAGGCTGTAGTGCAGTGACACAAATAAAGCTCACTGTAGCCTCAGCCTCTTGGGGTCAAGGTGATCCCTCCACCTCAGCCTCCCCAGTAGCTGAAACTATTAATAACATGCCTGGCTAATTTTGGGATTTTTTTTGTAGAGAGAGGGTCTCACTATGTTGCCTAGACTGGTCTCGAACTCCGGGGCTCAGGCAATCCTCCTGTCTTGGCCTCCCAAAATGCTGGGATTACAGGCATGAGCCCACCATTCCTGGCCTATAAAGAAAATTTCAATACAGATTTTTAAAGACGGGCAAACACTGTAGCGTTGTAGAGTGAAGACAATCGTGGACCAGGAATCAGGAGCTGAAATTGTAAGCTAGCTCTGATGTTCTCCAGCTGACTTTGTTAAGTCCATTCTCTGGGCTTCATTTTTCCAGTCCAAAACATAAAGATAATTTTGCCTCCCCTACCCTACGGGGTTAAAAGGACTTGGACAGATAGTGCAAGGTAAGAACAACAGTTTGTTGGGATTTAAAGTGAATTGGATTTTGAGAAATCAATTACTATTGATTGACATTGAGAAGATGAATGCACTACTTTTGTACAGACTGGAGCAATTAGTTGGTAATCTACACTTTTAATTAGAGGACCGTCCTGGGTGAATTTAGATCTAGATATTGGGTTCCCAAGACATCAGCAATTCAAATTGACCACATTGATCATCCCAGAACTCCATTAGTATTTGCAAAAATGGTTTTGGGTGGGGCGGGTGGATGGGTAGTGGTTAGAATCTCTAATAAATTGTGTTATAGATGTTAAAAATTAAGTGGGAGATAAAACAAAGTGGTAAGATCAAATGGGAAATAGGTGTGGTTTTTCCCTGGTTTAAACACTGTACCCTTTTTCGTGTGCGTCTTCATCGTTGTCGTCCATGTTTTCTTTGTTTCTTGGAGAATCTTGCTCAATGGTGAGCTGTTCCTCACCCTGGAAATCAAATGTTGGGTCAGAGATGGAATAATGAGAATTCTGGGCATAATGGACCCTGGTCATCTTTGCTCAGAACGGTGGCAAAGAACTTTCAATACAGAAGTTCCTTTTAAATTATCACGCAGGAAGATGGCTTCTATTATCTACTGCAGACATGTCTTTCCCTCTTATAATCACGAAAAATTCAGGATCACATTTAACTCTTCCTTTCCTTTCAAAGGAACGGTTGGTATTTTCTTCTTTTCTTAAGGGAACGGGCTCACATTTGTGCTTTTTGCTCCTGTCTCTACTGTAATTATTCAACTCCAGCTTTGTTTTCAGCCAAGTGCTAAATTAAGTTAATATCAGAGGCTGCATAAATCTCCCTTAATGCTCTGCCAGCCCTGATTTCCAAAGGACTGAGACCAAAGCTGGATTTTTTCTCCTGGCAGCCCAAGGCTTGGTCTGCAGATATGAACCCTAGCTCGGCATCTCCAAGAGCTGACAAACTTCCCCTTGGGAACTAGGATCCTTCTACCAGTTGGGCTAAAGGGGACTATTTCTCTTACTCAGCTAGCTCTTGCTCTAATTGAGTAAACTATTTCCTCGGGCCATTTTTTTCCTCATGGACAATCTTTCTAGGTACAGTTTGAACTCTCAAATATCCATGACCCGTCCTGTTCCCAGGATAGCAGAGGATTTTCTACCAGTCTCTACTCTGCAGCAATGTCTCCAGTAATAAGTCTGACTGTTGTGACCAAAAGCAGTGAAAACTACAGAGGATGTATATAGATATGGTGCTGTGTTGAGTGTGCCCCGAGAGGTATAATGACAAATCTCAGCTTCTGTTTCCTGTCATATCCTACGCGGCCTTTGATTCTCTTTAACCAAAACGTCATAGAAATAAATGATTAGCATGTTTCTGAGCTGAAACGGTCCTCAACAATCATACAGTCCTTTGATGCCAAATTCCACTGTACTTCTGACTCATATTATTTTCTGGGCTGGACCCCAGGAACTATAAAGGTGAGAAGATAATTGGGAGAGAGACCAGCTGAGTCCAAGCTGCAGCGGCTGAGGACAGGGGGAGAGATGAGTCTCATCCATGTATTTCCATCTAACGTCTAGCTTGGCCAATCGTCCATGTTTGGTAAATATTTGATGTAAATGATCATCATTACTATTTGCTTGTAGTGAAAGTAGCCAAGGTACCTATTATCTATGGAATGTCTAATGTGAATATTGTTTTCATTCTTTTTCCTTTTAAAACAATAACAACAACAACAACAACCCCTCTCGACCCCCACAGTCCTGGGTCCCCTGCCCTCACTCTTTCCGTTCACAGGCGGGTCACTGGAAAGCATTGCCTTGACTGTGTGTCATCACCTCTTCACATTCTGCTCACTTCTACCCACTGTGATGGAGCTTCTGCTGAATGGGTCCCGCCAAGGTTACCCGAGGCCCATTGCTACCATATCCATTAGCTACCCCTTAACCTTCTTTCCTGTTTATAGCCGTAAAATCTCAATCTAAGTATTTGCGTTTTCTTGGGAACAATTTTTTGCCGTTTTAGGTTCGCAGGAAAATTGAGCTGAAGACACAGATTTCCCAGGCATCACCCACCCCGATAACTGCACAGCCTGCTCCACTATCAATATTCTACACATTTGTTACAATTGATGAACCAAGAATGACACTTCAAAATTGCTTAAGCTCATGGTTCACATTAAGGGTCATGCTGGATGCTGTGTGTTCTTTGGATCTGGACACTGACATGATGACGTGTATCCAGCATTGTCGTCTCACGCACCATGGTTTTACTGTCCTAAAAACCCTCCTCTTCATCTCTACCTCCCCCTGATCCTTGGAAACTTCTGATCTTTTTACTGTTTCCTGGTTTTTCCTTTTCCAGAAGGTCATAGAGTTGGAATTGTACAATATGTAATCATTTTAGATTGGTTTCTTTTTCTCGGGATTATGCATGTAAGGTTCCCCCCTGTTGACCAGGCATAGTGGTTCACGCCTGTAATCTCAGCACTTTGGGAAGCCAAGGCAGGAGAATCTCTTGAGCCCAGGAGCTTGAGACCAGCTTGGGCAACATAGTAAGATCTTATCTCTACCAAAAAAAAATAATCACAAAATTAGCCACGTGTGGTGGTGTATGCCTGTAGTCCCAGCTACTCAAGAAGCTGAAGTGGAAAGATCGCTTGAGCTCAGAAGGTTGAGACTGTGGTGAGCTGTGACTGTGCCTCTGTACTCCAGCCTGGGCCCTACTCAAAAAAAAAAAAAAAGAAAAAGAAAAAAGAAAAAAGATCCCCATATCTTTTCATGGCTTGATAGCTCATTTCTTTTTAGTGCTGAAAGATAATGTATTGTCTATATATACCACAGTTTATCCACTTACCTACTGAAGGACATCTTGATTGCTTCCATGACTTGGCAATTATGAGTAAAACTGCTATAAACATCCATGTGCATGGTTTTGTGTGAATATAAGTATTATTTCATGTTTTGTTTATTGAAGAATACTTAGTGACATATATTAAGTTTACAATATATGAAGTGAAACACCCCCAAAACATCATCCTAGTGGGTACTCAGATGACCTACATGGGTAATTTCCTCCTTTTTTTAAGCAACAGAAAGCTCTCTTTAAACACAATCTTATCCAGAATTCAACATATAAGTGAAATAAAACAGAGTCCCTCAGACGGGTGTAAACTTAGGTGTCACTAAGGAATCCTGGGGCGTGATGGACACAGTTTTAGACCCAATATAGGAACCTTCCTCTATCTGCTTCATTTATCTTACAATTCAGAAGCTTTTGTCTAAGCCAATGCTTTCTGCCTTGAAATGGAGCTGGGAATCTGCAATAGTGAAATGTCAGAGAAAGCATGGGTGCTCCTCCCACCAGGGAACTCTGAGGACAGTTGTGTAAAAACAAAATCTCTTTGGGCACATGTGTTTTCCATGTGACTATGCCTCACACACTCTAATTACCATTTACTCCGTTCCTCTAAGTGCCAGCTGGGTGCCATGCTTTCTGTCCCCACGGTTCTCAGGTGCCTGTCCCGCAGTGGTTACCATGGCACTAGAGTCTCGCGCCACAGTCCAGCCGTACCTGTCCGGTGTTTACATGCTCTCCGCTTTGCACAACTCTGCTCCTCATCACGTTGTTATTTCCTGCCTTGTTCTGATTTTCTTCCTTCGAAGGAAAAGGTACAGATTGCAAAAATAAAATGCCAGAGCCAAAAACCAAATATTTTTCAGTGAATGGAACCTGGAAAATTGTCAAGGGACGAGACAAAGATTAGGTGTTCAGATGAGGCATCTGATTCAAGAAATAGCTGATGAATCCTGGGCTCATAAGAAAACACAGATGGTTTTGACTTGTTTTGTTCTGATAGAACAGCGTGATCCAACCTGGGAAAGGAACGGGGGAGGATAACAGCCCTGGGCCTGGCCAGACAACTTTCTGATAAGTAGAGCTGAGACCAGGGGACTTTTTTCTAACACAGCACCCAGGTTCTCAACTTCGACAATGAAACTAAATGTGAACCATAGGCTGGATGATTTTATTCTTAGATGTTGGATTTATGAGAGGTTGAAAGGTGTTTTTGTTTGGTTTAAATCAATCCCTGGTAGTAACAAACATAAGGCAAATGCCTTCTTTTGTGAGGTTGTCCTGTTTTAACTTTAAGGCACTGAGTAGGGCTAGTTCTCAGTGAGCTGTCCCGACTCCTCGGCTGCTGTTTCCAGAAGTGACAAAGCAAACACCTGGTTCATTTCTCTGTCTTTTGGGGGTGTTTAATCTTACTTCCATCTCATCCCAACTTGCTTTTTTCTAGGGAAGGGCAACTGATAAACGGTGTCGGGAAATGCATTCTGCTAGTCCAATCGCTATGAAAAAGGATTGAAAAAGGATCAAGTGGGGGAGGGGGATGGGATTAACAGTCGTAAATATCTGTCTGGGGATGGGGAAACACCTCTTATCAAGGGTGCCTGAATGAAATGCAATTGTACACCTAACCCTTAACTATACCCCACAAAATCATAAAAAAAAAATATTGATTAAAAAAAAAGATCAAGTATATAACCTTGATTTTAACTTTAGATCTCTGACTGGCCCCAAGAATTTAGAAAATGTGGCAAGTCCAACTTGTATTGCAATTTCCACTTATTGAAACACAAGAGTGAATAAACATGAATAAAATCTTATAGCACATCCAGGATTTATGAGTAAAAGCATTGCTACCATACTTTCTGTGTTACAGTTGTTTAGATCTTTCTTTCTTTTTTTTTTTTTGAGTTGGAGTCTCACTCTGTCAGACTGGAGTGCAGTCGCCGCTCCCGGCCACCGCAGCCTCGACCCACTGGGCTCCGGCGATCCTTCCGCCTCAGC